AGATCCGCACGGTAGTGATCACTATCTTACTCGTAATATCGATTGGACAAAGTTCAAGACTGTGATAGATGAAACACTAACGTTGGTAGAAGGGCTTCCATCGCAGGAGGAATATAACTTCATATCCAATCTGATCTTGGATCCAGGAACGTCTTTCCGTAGGAAACCTCTTTCCCCTTGGGGGGACCAGCAATGCACTGAGGTTTATCGTAAAAAGTCCGACGCGTTTAAGCTTTTCCGGAAATGTGGAGCTCGGTTCTGAAAATCATGGATTCCCGATCAACAGGTCTTAAACCAACGATTTTCTATGCTGTAAGTAAAAGCGTCAGTCATCAAGCTAGCCGAAATCCTCAATTAATTTATTGAGACTTTATTTGGTAAACTTTGAATAAAATTTAAACAAATAAATGGAATGGATCTAATTCGAATAATCTGAAACTAGCTGGCTCCCTGATGTTTCAAAAGATTAAAATCAATCGCTCTCCTAATTTCGCGTTGAAAAAATATATATACGATTCTGCTCAAGGTGTATATTTGTTCCTTATCAAAAGAATAGACCCGTATTTTTTTATTTACTTCTTAGGGGGTACCTTCCTGAGTTAGGGTGGTCCAAAAAATCAACATTTTGCCTATATACCCAACTTTAAAAATTTATAAGTTTTATTATTTAATACTGGAGCGATTTTCAATGTTTGAACCATGAAACAAGCAACTCATGGGATTCCCGATCAACTTCGACCTTTTATTATCCCGCGTATTTTTACTGAAAAGTACCAACACGTCAATTGCGTGAAAAAATATTTTACAGACGGGTCACGTCTCAATGGATCCACTGGCTTCGGTGTCTTCAATGAAAACTCTAGCGCCTCCGCCAACTCCAGGAACCTTGTTCCGTTTTTGTTGCAGAGCTGACAGCAATCAACTTCGCATTGGGGATGATTTCCAACATGCCCGCAGACCATTACTTCATCTTCTCGGATAGTCTCAGTTCGATTGAGGCTATTCGGTCGATGAAACAAGGTAGGCACTCATCATATTTCCTTTCAAAGGTAAGGGAGCAGATGAGTGTGCTGGTCGCATATATCAGGCAATGAGAAGGCGCGCAGGAAGGCGAATTTTATGACAGGCAAATTTCACACGATGAATTTTAGCATTTAGTGCGTCAGAGTACCCTTTCGAGTTGGCAAACCGATTGGGACAATGGAAATCTTGGACGGTGGTTACATTCAATTATTCCTAATGTTTCTTTGAGAGCGTGGTTTAAAGGCTTGGACTTAAGTCGTGACTTCATTCGCGTGATAAGTAGACTTATGTCCAACCACTACTCGCTAGATGCTCATCTCAATAGAATAAACCTCGTGGACAGCAACATCTGTCGTTGTGGAAACGATTACGATGACATCGATCACGCAGTTTGGCAATGTACGGATAATGACGCCGCCAGAGAACGACTTTTGAATACCCTTGAGGCCCAAGGAAGACAACCCTCCCAAGTAACATTTTAAGTTTTATGAAATACTACAAAGCAACTATAAAACAACATTCATAAAACCCTGGTCAAGGCTATTTGGTCATTAATGCATCCACCATAACCTCATTAAGACTAGAATATGTCTAGTTGGACCACCCTGGAGAAGCTTCTGAAGGGTGTATTCTCGAAGCTTTTCAAGATTGATTTACTGCAAAAGGTTGTATGACGAACGCATTGAGAACCATTTGAAAGCTACAATAAAAGCTATTTAGCAACAATAAAAACCCTTTCCGAGCCGTTTCCTCTAGCCGCATGCTGAATCCACTAAGAAAGCATCAATCTAGATAGAAAAGGATTTATGAATCCGATCATATAAAAATAATTAAAATAGAAACTGATGGTATAAAAATCTTGTTGAATATACTAATTTATTACAATAGTTCTCACTAGTTTTAAGTGCCATATTAAATTTTATGTGAAATGTACGTGAATACATAGAAAAAATTAAGTCCACCCTCGTAAAACGTCGATTTGACCAATTATTTAACATTGTAAAAAAAAATATATTCTTCAGATCGAGTTTGACCGAGATTTTTTTTTATTACTTTCGCATTTAAATGTTTGCTCATTGCTAAATTTACCTAAATATAGTTATATCTAAGGAAATATTGATTGAAAATCGCAGATTGTAAAACACAAGCAAACTAATTGTAACATGGCGGTGGCATAAAAGTTGATTTTCATGGGTCATTTGTGAAAAAGTTGTTTTGCTTTCAAGAATTCCTTAACAAATTAATAAGGTTTTAAAATGGCTTTTATGAAGAAAACTTGCAGGCTGAATTGTATTTATCTAAAACCATTTTGCTTGATCCTAACCCGTTCAGATTTATGGCAGCTTTTATGGAGGCAAAGTTGCCTGCAAAAAGTTAAACGTCAAAGTTTGTTTATCTTTCGATAGTTGCGCTGTGAGATCCAGGATTCTTCCAGGCGGTTTTCTCCCGATGGATTGGAAGCAGTTACTCAGATTATTTGCGATACTAGTTTTACAACATTGCGCTTTTCGAACAGCTAGAAGCGCAATCGTTCCCGAAAAAGATCCCCTTCTTCCTGATGGTTACAGAAGTGCACCATCCAACGATGCAGAAATGTACGGTTGAATGAAATTTTCGAAGAGTCTTTCGCCGAATAACATCGCTGCTTTGGATCGGAAACCAGCTGATCTGCGCTAACTAACAGTTTCAGTGGTTTGCTGTCGGTTGTTATTTCGATTGTCATCGCAAGATCTGGAGAAGGCTGGTATGTTTTTCAACTTTAGACAATGTTTTATGAGTTCGAGGGCCCCGCTCACTTTACTCTTCTCCGACAGATGGTAAGTCGTTGGTGGTGTGCTGGTTCTTCCAAAGAAGTAAATTTATCTGAAATTGACTTGATTTTTTCATCCTACTTCGTCTATCCTTCGAGATTTCCTTGTCATAGATTTGTCATTTAGTAACTATGAGGAACCATCTTTTAAGCTCAATTTGTAAACAAAGTAGTTGGGGAGTTAATGATGCTTTTTAAAAAGGCTAAAAAGCAACAATAAATGCTTTTTTTTCTAATGCAAAACCTAATAGTTTTATGGTTGCTTTTATAATAATAGAACACGTTTATAAAGTATTTTATAATGACATTAATAAACAATTGCTAATGACGTTAATGCTTGAATTATTGAACAGTTTTAAGGGGGGAAGTACAATTAGAAGGCCTAAAATGAGGCCTATCTTTGAGAGTGGATTGCGAGTAGGGAAATAAATGAATATTAGCGATTCTTTATGCATGTTATTAAGGATTTAATGAAGATTAATGATCAGTGACCTTTTTTAAAATTTTGCAATTTAGCCCAATTATTATAAATAATGTGAAGTCAATTTTTTAAAGCAGCACTTCGCGCCGTGCAGTCCCTACGCCCATGATCACGTCTGAAACAAAAAAAAACAGGACATTAAATTTGAAGGTACAGCGCACAACATGATTTAATTCGTATGTAAAAATAATGTTTTTTTCACAAAAAAATTTGAAGTTGAAAAAAAAAATTAAAAAAACCCTATTTTTTTCGACTTTGTTTATAAAAAAAAACATGTTATAACAAACAAATCTAAAAAATCTTTCTATTCATGTTGTGGAGAATTTAATTATGAACATAAAACAGAAAACCGGAATCGATTTGAATGAAAACTCTGACCTGTACATTGCACGGCGATTTTGAAAACACTACTTTTCAGTAGAAGCATTTAAAGTTCAACTTTGACATGTTCAGCCATTTGACATGCACTCACTGAATTGCGTATAACTTTTTAAATAAGTTCCGGACGGCTTTATGCTTTTAAAGGCTCATTCCCAGATACATATAGAGTAAATTTAGCCAACAAAATTTGTTTCGAAAAAAAAATTCTAATTGTACTTCACCCCTTAAGGAGGGACTGATAACTGTTTTAAATTTATTGTTAAAACAAGACAGTTTTTGACTTTCTTGCCAGACTATAAAAGGTTTTTAAAACAGCAAAAAGCTGAATTACTAAGCAGGAATGTTTTACACTTTAAAATGCTATATTTAAACTAAGTGGATTGTTCATTGCCGTTATAAAACCATCATAAATCAGAGTGGATGCTAAATGGTTACTGAATTGCTACTTGGGCTATGTTCCTATCAGAGACGTGTTGGGAGCTCGCGATATCTGCTATATGTAGTCGGTTTATATGTTTCTTCAAATGTCTAGTATAAGAATTTAATTCCTTTGTCTTTTGCCTCTCTTTATTAGTTTTTGTCTGTCTTGTCCCCCCGTCTCGATGAGTCTCTAGAACCGCACTACCGTTCATACTGGCGACAACGCTCTGATGAGACAACGAAACCTTACCCCCAAGCTCCTCCCCTGATCCTATCCTTCGACAATGTACCTCTCTAACCTCGAGTAGCCAGCGAGTATTCAGCCCAACTCCTACTAGACATAGAATTATGTGAATTTTGTTACAAACAAAGAACAATGAACTATCGGCTCCGTAAAGCTAACGCGATTGAGCCTTCCAAATAAACGAACTAGTTAAAAAAAAAGTTGATAACTTTCAGATGATCGTCATATGATAAATGAAAATCGATCAAACTATAAGAATTACCTGAAATGGATTTGAAACTTAACTTTTCTCTATTATGTAATAAACGTGTCATAAGTCAATCTAATTAAAGTTTATATGAAAATCATGAAATTAACTTGTGGTTTTGACACTTATATTTTATCAATTATAAAAATAAATCGAAAAATAAGCATCATTCAGTGGGAGCCTTCATGAGAGTTGCGTCTTTTTGATGAGTAAAAATGTACTAAATGTACGTTTTAGCGAATCTGAGTAACCGGAATTCAAATATGAGTCCGATTCAACGGCAGAGTGTGGTATCGCTAGTGACGGAAAATCCGCTTGTGAACGGATTATCAAACAATGGGTGTAAGACCCCTCAAACACTAAAACTTCCCTTCCCTTCTTATTTCCAATCAAGTGTCGTATAACGCAACCTGCATCAACCCGCACAATAAACCCGGCAGCTGTATTCTGGTGCGGGAGTGTCAAACCGTCCTCTCCACCCTGCGGAAGGAAACTCTCAGTAGAGATGAAATTGATTTTCTCTACCACAGCGAATGCGGCAAACTGGAGCGCAAAAGTTTAGTTTGCTGTCCCAACTATTCCATTAGCAGCATCGACAATGACACGTCCCCCGTTGCTTCAAGTTCTATTGACACGTCCAATCGAGTGGATGGCGATACTGGAGGCAGCAGTAGCAATCGACCCATACTGGACCAGTGGACATTACTGCCGCAGCCAGGGGAATGCGGAGTACAGCCAGATTATCAGTTGTTCGGTGAGAATGTGACAAAACTGGACGAACAACCGTGGACGGCTCTGGTGCACTTTGGGAATATGCGTAAGTGAAGTTTGGCGATGATTTTTGAGACCGTGACAATGAACTTGCATCGTTTTGAATTCTAGCATACGAGACGACTTTCGAATGCGGAGCGGCACTTATCAGTTCTCGTTACGTTTTGACGGCGGCTCACTGTGTTACAGATAGGGCAAAGTGGAGCAAGTAATCAAACTCCTGAGTGACCTATATTCTTAAATACTAATCTCTTTGTCTCCCCTAAAACAGCCTTACGGTTCGTCTCGGAGAATGGGACACGGACGCTACGGTCGATTGCATCGCTATAGAAGACTACAGTGAATTCTTCTGTGCCGATCCGGCGATAGACGTTGCAGTGGAGAAGGTGTTCGTTCATGAACAGTTCGCCCGCCATCATCGCCCTCAGTTGAACGATATAGCACTGCTGCGATTGGCGGAACCAGTCACCACGACAAGCTGGATTCGTCCGGTTTGCCTCCCGGAGCGACCTGTTCTTCCGGCGTCCGATGAATTACTCATTCTCGCTGGATGGGGCAACAACGGTTGTGGTAAGCCGTTTTATAGCTACCTCATAACATTCAAAAGTAGCTAAACTAACCCACCTTTGCAGGTTACAACAGTCGCTACAAGGTTCGTTCTCGATTGAACGCACTAAAGCAGGACCAGTGCCGGGGGTATTTACCGCCCGGTTTCCGCCGAGTTAATGACTACATCTGTACCGTTCCGGTTGTCGAAGGCGAAAAGTGCCATGCCGATTCGGGTGGAGCAGTGACGAGTACCCGCCAGGTGGAGGGTGTGGGAGTCGTTCACGAAGTTGCCGGCATATTGAATCATATGGTGGAATGCCACGTTAGCAGACCGGTTGGAGTGTTTACCAGCGTGGGTCAGTACCTGGAGTGGATTGTCAGTAAATTGGAAATATAAATTACGCAATAACGGTGATTTTCATTTAACGAAGAAGTGATTAAATAATCATCAGGCCTGGCACGAGCGAGGCGACAACACATTAAAAGGAGAAAGTGAACTGTTGATCCTTTGACGAGCTTAGGGCTGTTAATCCGTGATAAATTATTCAGATACCGTTTCCTATCTGGATGGCCGGTTTGTGGACGATGATGGGTCGATGCCGTCGCGTTAAATAGATGAATTATTAATTACCACTCATTTGCTACGATGTCGGATGGCTTCCCCATCCAGCGAACAAGCTTTCGAGATAAATTGACTATTGAGGATATTCGGGGCGCAAAAGCGGAGTGTTTTCGGCTGTTGTGATTATTCTCCGCACATTCGGCAAGTGATTGCTTGAAATGGAAGTTAAATGTGTAGCGTGTGAATAAAGTAAACACCAGCGAAATTATTGTTTAATGCTATTTCTATGGAATAACAGTTAGGTGAAGTTTGAAGTAATTAAATGTGGCTTATTAGTCCGTTCAGGTGGGGCATAGAAATTAACGATATTCATATGACAGTTATGACAGAAGGTTTGTTTTATCGCTTTGGCCAGATTTATCATCATACACGGTCACTGAGAATAACCTGAGTACTTGCAGATTTTAGAAATCTCTCATATAACTGAGCAGAAGTGACTCTCGCTCTGGGTTATTCTCAGTGGCCGTGTATTTGGTCTGGAAAACTGTTACTCTGCACGGCGTGTGAGGTAAGGTGACACCGGTATATGATGATAATTGTCACCTCGGGTGAGGTGACTCTCTATGCAAATCAAATGGAGAGTCACCTCACTCGAAGGGACAATTGTGACTTCGCCATGTATCAAATTTATTCAACAGCTATTAATAATATTATCAAACTTTTGTGACCACTCGGAACCAATGACCAGCTAATAGGTATATCAAAAAACACAATTTTATCACTTGCAGAGAAAAATACATAACCATCCGGATCCGGTGGACACTCAGTATTAAGAACCAGGTTGTGGGTTTATTTTGGTAAAATATTAATCAACACTACCCATAGATGCCTGTTGCTGTGGATTTCCAGCATCACCTTGTTCTAGACGACTGGTAGGGTAGAAAACTACTTCGGCCTAAGCGCCTATTTTGGGCATATCAAGCAGAAAACATCAAATAAATGCATAATTTCGGCGTTAACAGGTAGATTATGCGTTTGGTACGATATTTCAGTTCAAAAGTGAACGAAGTCAATAAGAACGCGTGATATGAATGTTTGCTCCCAATATTCTCAAATACAAATGAAACGCTCCGATCGAATCAATCTTTATCTTCATCCGATAGGCCGAAGTGAATTCATTGGCGTTTCAATACGTTAGGCCGAGTTTAGAATCCGTAGGCCTAGTTTGGCGTCAAGAAGCAGTGTTAGACTTTTAACAACACCTCAAAAATTTGATTCTTTTTATCAAATCTTACGGTACGTACCGAAAGGTAAATAAATTTGGAAGTCATCAGTAATCATAACATTCTGTTTGGTGCTAAACTACGCTAGATTAAGAAAGACTAAGGGCGGGTTGTGCTTAATAGGCCGGAAATGGGGTAGTTAACCTTACCTTTTGAACTTTTGAAACCAGAGCCTGCTGTAGTTTTGCGTGAGAAGTTTTAAGGTTGTGTTTCTTCTTCTTGAGGTTTGCCATATTTTCTTTTGCTTGCTCTAATTCTGCTGGTAAGTCAATCACCTTTGCCTCCAGTTGTTCTACTTTATCGACGCTTGCCACCTTTTCTCTGGCTTGCGCTAGTTCCGCTTGAAGTTCAATCACCTGGGCCTCCAGTTTATCCACTTTCGCTTGTAGCCCACTGGCACATACTGATATAAGTCAAGGAAGATTTTTCAGAATGACGAATCTGCTTTTGTAAACGTCAATTTGGTGAGCCTTTTAGCTAACTCACCCAAGCTAACATTACTATCCTGAGGAAACCTGATGATGGTGTGGATAATAGACTTATCTGACGGTTATGAATTGCACAAGTATTAGTGCAGAGCTTTGGGTAAATTCAAAGGTTTTCTTGCACTAATACTTATAATTTACCCAAAGTTCTGCACTTATACTTTCGCATTTCACAAACGTCAGAGAAGTCTATTTGTTTACAATAGAAAACAAACCTTGCTAATGAATATCGGTCAGGCCAACAGCTTCTGTTGCGTCCTCTGGAATTCCCTGATTCTCACGGCCACCACAAAATGCAACGGCCAATGCTTCTGTGGCATCCGAGCATGAATCGATTTCATCACCTTCATGGGGGAGAAGTGTCTCATGAAAGAGTTCTGCTGCAGCGCTGGATGGCAACGTTTTCGAGGGATTTCCGTTGCTTTTTTGATATCATGTGCGAGGTTTGTTTGTGGAGTGCTAAAAAAAAAAAAAAAAAACGGAAGTGAGGTTATAGAAAATAGTATTTGTTTGCAAGTACTTACACTTGTTTCGTCTAATTACTCCTGTAAGACTTCTTCGTTTAGTGCTTTAGTCATCTCTATCACCCGTTTTCCATAGCAGCTGTTTGCCGTTTTCTAGCCATTTTAGATGAGTTTTAATGGTTCCAGAAAGAGCAACCGTTATGAATGTTTTAACACACGTGAAAACTGAAAACAATACTATAGTTCTTCTTATGCAAAGTAGGTTGTCTAGCCCAACGTTGCCACATGGTTTTCAAGCTTATCGGTATCAAAGGTCTGAAAAATATGTATTTTTCGGTATTTCAAGACCAACAACAGAAAAGGCCTCAACTCCACTGTGCTCAGAGTAAATTTATTTGCGGCGAGTAAATTTATTTGCAGCGAGTAAATTTGAGTTCTAGATAAACATTTCAAAAGGTCCTATCTGTATTGATCGATTCTCTTCATCGACTTTCTCTTTCGTCAATAACTCAGTTGCAAAACCTTTCCCTGTTGTATTTGACGTTTTGGACGCTAGATAAGAACCCCCTTTATCAAACTATATGATAGAATTAGCGCAAAATCTGTTTGCATAGCAGTGGTTATAAAAAGAGAAAGTCGATGAAGAGAATCGATCAAAGCAGATAGGACCATTTGAAATGTTCATCGAGAGTTATTCACATTTACTCAAAAATAATCAAAGTAGTCTCGATTTTCTGATCAAAGAAAATATCGTCTGAGAGCATATTGGGTTTTCAATATAAACACAGTTTTCAAGCATTAAAAGATTCAAGGCAGACCAGGGATCGATTGGTTAAAGTGTTGTCGTTGAAGATTTTTGATGATGTGGTGGTGTTATTTCAGGACTACATGTTGGTAGTCGACCAGCTATTTGAGAATTTTCTGCCCTGTGAACATAAATAGCTTGCACAGTATGTAAAAGATCCCTCTTATCTTGTTGAACTAATTTCAGACATGAGGAAATCCAACATAAATATCGAGGTATATAGTAAAAAGTACAACTAGGTTCTAAAGTTATAACGTTTAACTATTCGTTCGTACCGGCAAGTGTAGTAGCAGCAAACTCCTCGAGCTGGGTCTCAGGGTTTCCTTATTACTTGCTAGTCCAAGGGACTTCGTGAACAAGATGTGCAGTGTACGGTCACCTGACTAGAGATCATTGCGGGAAGGGGGATGAAACGGGAGTGAGGTTTGCTGCCACTCATTGTCATGTTTTCTATCACACGCTCTTGCTCTCATCCTTGGTGAACTCTGAGCTTTTTGCCTTGAACAAAAAAGTAATCCGGAGCATCTCACGTCAAATTATTCTCTCGCTTGAGTCTCTCACCCTCTCTCTCGAGGAGTTTTAGTACGAGATGGAAAATGACAGGTGGGCAGGAACTCACGGTCTCCCAGTGTTGGTGAGTTCTTTGCCGTTAATGTTCACGAAAAGTTCACTATTTTGCTATACAGAAATTCAAAACAAAAATTTTTATCTGCGGATTTGGACAGTTTTTGACCTGTTTCATACGACCAGAAGGTGTATGCTGGTCACAAATACCGTGCCAAACTGATTTCCTACGCAATTAATCAATCTTTGATGTGAATTTCGCTAATAAACACGAGGAGCCTTTTTTATAGCAAACTTGCCATAACAAAATGGGCATGGTTTTTTTTAGTAAACAAACTAACACTTCTTCCGACTGTGGCACCTCTCTTACTCGCCTAGGTTTTAGTATACTTCTTCCATATTCCTGGTGCCACTCACTCGAGGCGAGGGCTGCCCAAACTTACAGCGCAAGAGTATTTTAAAACCTCCAGTGAGTTTGAGAAATTTCATCAAGCCTGGACACCGCTCTCGAGCAGACGGCCCTAATCGCTAAGGAGAGATTCCTTTCCCGGTTTGACAGACTGTGGCCTTGCCGTCGTCGACCGGCTTCGTCTGAAGGAAGCGCCGGTGTATCGGGACCAGCTCCACAATCCATCATACCAGCCCATTACCAAAACACCACACCGCTAAACCAAACCGCCATTGCACGACAGCCAACGAACGGTAGACGCGCTAGTCTGAAATTTCAGTGAGCGCTCGCTGGACTGCATTTGTCGTAGTTGTCGTAAAGTATCCAACACACGACACTACTCACTCCTAAGTGTATTGAGGAATGTTTGGACAATATAGTGGTTAAGTTGATCCACTCCGGGTTTTAATTCATTTGAAAGCTTGAGTACGCGAAGCCCCTCCAGTTTTCCCGGTAGTGCGCCGACTCTGCGACACAGTTCGCAGAGTTTCATGCTGCTGAGTCGTTGTCGAGCAGAACATTATTTTCATACAGTATAAGGCAATGGTGGCTTAGGGTTGATGCATATATTATGTCACGCTCTAAGGGGGGAGGGGGGTGGTCTAAGATTTTGTGACAAGCAATGCATTAGGTATAGGAAAAACGTCACGATAGGGGGGGGGGGTAATTTTTTGCTCGATTTAGCGTGACATAATAAGTCACGTAAGCCCCATAGTCCTTTGTTCATATCAACTGTTACACACATTCTGCTTTGACCAACTGGCTTGCATAAAACACCCATAAAGTCGAAAGATATATCTCTGAAAGATTAAAGATTATAGTTTATAATTTTCCTTTTTTAATTAATACATACATCGAGGTTCATCATTGACTGGAAAGCACGTCAACTTACTTCCCTAATAAAAAATAACCATAAACGAACTATAACCCAAATCATTGAACTATTCCACAAATGGTTTGGATGATACCCAGAACACGTCGTTAAGCAAATTAACCATACAATTTTTATTAGGGTTTGCTTGACAGCATCGGTATCAACATTGTTTTCAATATAACAATCAGGTTGCTATGTGAATAAGGTATTGAGCAACGCAAGTTACTCAGAGCTACTCAAAATTAACTCCGATTTTACTCATGATCGATCGATAGACACCCCCAGGCTTTTTTTTAAAGAAATTTTTTCATTAAATGACATTTTGAGACATTTAGGATTAAATTTTATTATTTAGATTTTTACTTGAACTCGTATAAACATTTTTTCATACAATCATATGTTTCGTTAATGTTGTCTCATAGTTCAATCAGAAATAGTGTTACCGTGCTACAATGCATTGAAAAAAAAAATCAGACACCATTTTGAAAAATTAACAAGCTCCAAATGGCCAAATTTTAGCTAAAATGTGAATCACTGCCCATGACAAAGACTTATGCAAAATTTCATACAAATCGGTGAAGTTCGAGTTTTTCCTGCTCAAGGCAAAAATTCAAATTTTTGGTTTAAGAACGGCCTTTACAGGAAAGTCGGCACAATCTTCCAGTGAATATTTGAATTAGCTTCTGAAGGAACCAAAAAAAAAAAAATCCAGAAAAAGAAGACGCTCTTCTGGAGGAAGTTTGTAGAGAGATTTAAGAAAAGTCAGAAGAACATCTGAGGAACCCCCATGAAAAATATTTAGACACTTCTTTGGACAATAAAAAAATACTTCCGGTAAAATCGGCGAAAAAATCCAGAGGAAGCCAGAAAGGTTTCGGAAATTTCCAGGAGAAGCTAGAAGAAGCTTGGAAAAACCTTCCATAAGAATAAAACCTCCACAGGAAGCTCATGGAGAAGATAAAAGAAATTTCTGGGATTCCGATTGGTATCTTCGGGTAGAAGTTTATAGGAACTTCATGTAGAAGACGGAAAAAAACTCCTGATGTAGTTTGGAAGAAACTTCTGAAGAAAGCTTCTAGGGGAAGTTTGGAATACAATAATTCGATGATGTTTTCCGAAATTTCGAAATTCCGAAAGCAAAAGATTTCTGGGGGATGTCGAAAGAATATTCCGGTGTAAATCGGTAGAATCTCCTGGGGAAAGTTAACACAATATTCCGGGGAAATTGAAAAACTGGCGGGAGAAAACGGAAGACCATTTCGAGCGAAGTCAGAACAAGCTTCTGGGGGAAGTCGAAATAACTTTCCAGAATGAACCGGAAAATAACTTACGGGGCAAGGTGGAGGAAACTTCCTGGGGAAGTTTTTTTCCTTGATTTGTTTTCCGTCGATCTTGTTTTCCGTGCTGAGCCCAATGCTACCGACGCCAGGAAGGCAGCTCCCACACCTGGACCCTACCTATCGACCCATCAACTCATGAACCGGGGACCAACCGGGGATCATCTTCTTAAGATGCTAAATGTGAATTTTGAATAATTTGCTTCTGGATTCTCTGATCCATACGATTCTCATCGAGTGTATTTCTGTACTTATTATCAATGCGAACTTGGTAACCATGCCCCAGTAGAGGGTACGATTTGCAAGGTTCCGGGATGTAATTTTGTTCATTTCAACAACAACTAAGTGAGACGGTTCGCAAATACAAGACGGAGATAGATGAATACAAGAAATCAATACACAAAGAAAAGGCAAATAGATTGGCTGAATGAACATCAACACAGGCATTTTGAAGTAGAATGTCAGAATGAATGCCAAAAGGAGATCTTGAGCTGTTGAGAGTGGTTTCAACATTTCGTTATATGCAGCTACATAGTGTAAAGTTTTTTGAAATTCACGAAGACGATATTCGAAAGTTATAGGTAGATACGATTTTACTATTTAAAAAAAGTCAAAAATAGAATAAAGCGTTTGAGGCACATTTTGAGTTGTGCCTATGTTGTCCATATAAATAACCAAATAAGTTGTCCTTTAGCATGTTGTTGATTTCATTCAATATGGTCAAAACTCAAAAAAAGTAAACCCATTTTTGCATGACAAAGGGGCGCACTTCAAATAAATGTCGTTGGACTGTTCATTTTTTTATCGGATATTTGATAGAATGAATAAATTACACTCGATTCAGTCAAATGGAAATGAAAAGATTCATGAAATTGAAACTTAACACAGAAATGCAGAAGGGTTTTTTGAACTCAAATTTTTAAACATTGATTGTGAAAATTCATAGATTTTGAGCTGTGCCAGTATTGTACTAAACCGACGATGTTTTCTTAATACCATCGACAGACGTGGTACCGTTGTACTTCTTTAGTCCAGTAACCCAATCGACGTACTAGATTAAATGAGTACAGCGGTACTACAGTCATGTCTGTCATAAGTATTACATTATCTGTGTATGATTCTTGCGGGAAATTCATTGATAGTACTCTAAACTGTCATAGAATCTTACATTTCATGTTGAGTGTAGTGATATAGATAATGTCGCGAGGAACAGGTTTACATCTCTGTATTGAATATCGCTCGATCGCTGTTATCGTGTTCTCGGGGAATCTCCCGCTCAGACCGGTATTGGTAGGCGTAAAATTTATTTTGGATAAACCCGACGGAGCACCACCACAATTTGATTTCGATTCCGTAAGTCACACGACACACGACAAACCGGTCAGTCGTCCAACACTCGTGCTTGCGCTCAGGTCAGTCGCGTGTTGATCTTTGTGGGGTATTGACGAGCTTGTTGAACGCTGCCGTTCGAACGAAGGCAAACAGTTCAGTTGCGGGATGTGGGTTTTGTTTGCAGTTGCACTAACCGGCTTCTTGAGTGGAATCGGTGCGGAGACTCAGTGTAAGTGGTTCCCGAATACGTGCTTAAGTCATTTGAAACAACATTATTATTCTTTACAGATGGGAGTAGCTGCAAAACACCGGTCAATCAGCCGGGATCGTGCGTTCTGGTAGTGGAATGTGATTTCATCCGTCGAGTGCTGGCGAAACCGATCCTGGAAAATAACGATGTTCGCTATATAGAAGCTAGTCGGTGTGGTAACTATCAGAAGAAGCCTCTAGTTTGCTGTGCTCTTCCGGCGGCTTCAGCACCCAGCAGTGTTAGCAGTAACAATGCTGGCATTGACCAACGTGTCCAAAGTTCCAGTTTATCCGTAGAGGGCAAGCGGAGACTGCTTCCTCTACCACCAAATTGTGGAGTTCAGTACGACGATCGGATTGTCGGTGGAGAACGTACGGAAATTACGGCTTATCCTTGGTTGGCACGCATTCAACACTATGATGAACGATGTAAGGAAGCATGAATGCTAGCTTAGTGGCAGGTACTAATTAAAATCTTTATCTTTCCCATGCATTAGATAAAAAATACAATTTCCATTGTGGGGGTTCACTGATCAATACACGATACGTGATGACGGCGGCTCACTGCGTGCATGGGCTTTCCAAGGCATGGACGATGTAAGTATAGCAATATGTGAAAGACAATCGTTTTGGTTAATCTCATCGGTACAATAACTATTGATCGCGTTTGA